AATTAAATTCTCAGACAAGGTTTGTTATTAATCTCCACCGTTGATCTTTAATTTCAAAGGTGACAATCCCCCCTGGGCTGTGATTTTCATTAACACTCCCTGCCCTTGAGGTCTCCCTGCACAGCACATTCCTTTGGTGACAGAATGGTATCAGCTGGATCTCGACAGTAGAGGAAAAAAAAAAAAAAACAAAACCCACACCCTGCGCCCTCCCACCTGTACAAAATCTAGTAGTAAGAAGCTTGTATCCCATTACTCCCAGTAGCAGCCACACACATACACCTCCAGGTGCAGAGTGATCCTCTGACAACATTCAATTAGACAATGAGAATCTTCTTGCCATCACAGCTGAGTGGAAAGTCAGCTGTAACAAGGAGGAACACAAACAAATAAATTAATTATTCAAGCCAGACTTCTCATCACAGGTGCCGATTTAGAGGTTTAAGATCCAGCAGCTCAGGACAGAGGTACCTCACCCTGGTAAGATGTGCACAGTGGCACAACCAGGACTGTCCCCTCCTGGGACAGAGTCAAAGGCTGGAAGAAGGGAATAAAATTCACAGATTTTAAAAAAATTGTATTATCATGTGGTAACTAGGGCAGAAGATTAATTGATCTCTGCGAGAGGGGGAAGGCCCTGGCACAGGTTGTCCAGAGAAGTTGTGTCTGTCCCATCCCTGGAAGTGTCCAAGGCCAGCTTGGACAGGGCTTGGAACAACAACCTGGGACAGTGGAAGGCGGTGGAACAAGATGGGCATTAAGCTCCCTTCCCAGCCAAACCAGTCCATGATTCTGTGATCCTATACCCAGAGTGCAGCCTTACTGGGATCCCCAGGGGCTGCAGGAGTTCCCAGGTGCTGTCACAACTCAGTCCCTTGGCCCTTGCAAGTCCAACAGGGAGAGGGGAACACAACCCACAACAACCTGATGCACACGAACACTTGCAGGGCCTTCCATGGGAATGCCACCCAGCAGGCATCACAGCACAACAGGCAGATGGCTCACTCTGGACCTGGAAGGGACTTGCACCCCATTGAACGCCTGCAGCCAGCGGGGCCAAGGACACGGTGGCACAAGAGCCCTGCACAGGCAGGGCCTCCCTCAGCAGCTGGCTGTGCCTCCTGTGCCCACTCACAGTGACACTGAGCACTGCCAACCTGCAGGGCAGGCCGCCTTAAGGAGAGCAAATGAGTGAAGCACAGTGTCCTTCCACTCTTTGACACACTGCAAACAGGCTTTTCCACATTCACCAACTCTCTGCTGCAATAGGGCACAGCCCAGCAGATATGGATTTTGGGGACAATTATCAGCTCCAGCAGCTCTGAACCTCTTGTTACTCAGCTCTCTATGCAAGCAATCCCTCTCTGGTGCCACAGACATATCAGCAGAACCCTGCCAGACCAGACTGTAGAGCTGATCCACCCCACAACACCCCCACCCCTTTCTCCCTCCTGCACACACAACAGCAGCCTGCCATTCTAGACAGGAACTTGTCAGGAGTTCAAAGTACAACCTGAGACACCTCACAGATCAGGCAGGCCTTACTGTGGTATAAAACGAAAAATCTCCACATGCCTAATCCATATTCAAACTTAACTACAGCAGAAGTCAGAGACAAGAGAATGAACCATTTTAGGAAAAATTCTCAGGGAAAAAAAACTAAAGCTAAAAACTGCAAGTCTTAAAACTACACAAGGGGACTTCACTCCTCATACCCTTCAGATCTAAATGATGAGTACCAAGTTATGCTTAGCAACACGAAGTATGACTGAAAATGCCATCCTCCACCAGCAGTAGCCTATTTAAGACTAGTTATATCCATTAACTCTAGGCTTTCACCCAAACACTCCCTTTATCCAGGCCTGTATCTTTCGTAGTGTTAAAATCAAAATTTTAACACCATATCCCTGGGTCTCTTGACAACCTGGCACCAGCAAAAAGTGGGGCAGATACGTGGGAGCCGAGGAGTTAACCAGCACACAAAAGAGTACACTCACTTCAGCTCTGATTAAGCGGGGCAGTCACAAAAACAGAGGTCAACATCAGAAAATATTTTGTGAGTCATGAGGAGAGATTACTCACCATGCACTATTCAACTTACTCATCACAGTGTGGCACGGCCAGCACGGCTCACCACGGCTTCATTAGGGCACCGTGGCCTTTCCTTTGAGGCGGCGGAAGGCGGGGGAAGGAGCCGCACTTTCAGTTTTGTGTGGAAGCCAGTGGGAGGCTGGAGCTGCACCACCGCCGCCGCTCTCTCTCCTCCCACGGCCCTAATTAGACTCGGAGGGAAATACATGTTTCACATCAGCCTCCCCGGCTCTTTTAGCATCCCAACAAGCGCCGGGTTGTCAGCCGGGCTATTATCCGGACTCGGCAGTCTGGAGAGACCCCCACTTTTCCTATTACACACGAAATAAGCAGCAGCCCAGCAATAAAGAGACACGGTATTAACCCAGGCGTCCATTAATAGGAGAGACCAGCCTTCAACGCACCAACACTGACGCCGCTAATTTAAGATGTAGTAAGAGCATAAAAATAGCCAAGTTACTCAAGGCAGGGTTACATCACACCACGGAGCCCGGGCACACAGCAGGTTCACACTACAGAGCCTCGGATGTTGGGAAAGATGACTCCCTGCCACTGCTGCTGCTCTCACCAAAAATAACCTGCCGGGACCGTGAGTTTCCCGTTCCCTTTCCCTACAGCCCTCCTCGGAAAACACATCTCACAGAGTACAACAGGAAGCAACCAGAACACTGCTAAATAAAACTCCCTGAATCAGCGTGGCGTGTTGTTTTTTTTTTTTTCCCTCCCCTCAGCTATCCCACCTTGCTTCCTCGGAACCACGGGCGGTGAAACTAAGAAATGTTCTGCTTACGTCAAAGCGAGCCGAGCTCTCCCGGCAGCTCGGGCCGCGCCAGCGCGGGGAAAGCGCGGCTGCAGTTCAGCAGAGCACGATGTCAGCAGGCCAAGCGCTGCCACGGACACAGGGATTTGTTTGCAGAGCCCCAGGGTTCAGCCGGAGCCGCGGCCAGCGCCGGGGCGTGCGTGTGTGCCAGCACGCCTCGGCCGCGCCGCAGCGCTGCGCTCCCCGGAGCTCCCCGGGCCGCGATGCTGCTCGGCTCCGGTGCAACATCCACTCGGGAATCACTCTGGAAAGGCTGGCGATGCCAAGCAGACGGTTTAAGGGCAGGATGTTTGGGGTTTGTGGTATTTCTCAGTACATGGGGGATCACAAACCGCCCCCCCCCCCCCCGCCCACCACCACTACCCGCATTTCTGATTAACTGAGAAGAAATTCTATTTATTCTGTCATCCTCAAAAACAGCTGCTCAAGTTCTCCCAAATCAAGTAAATTCTTTATTTCCCATGCTGCAAAACACACGTTTCACCCTTTCACCCTTAAAATAAAGGGGTGGGGGGGGGTAGTTTTTACCCGCATTTCTGATTAACTGAGAAGAAATTCTATTTATTCTGTCATCCTCAAAAACAGCTGCTCAAGTTCTCCCAAATCAAGTAAATTCTTTATTTCCCATGCTGCAAAACACACGTTTCACCCTTCACCCTTAAAATAAAGGAGGGGGGGGGGGGGAGGTTTTTCGGTTTTTAAGCCCGTAAGAATCTCTGTGAACAGACATAAAACCATCTCTCCCTCCCAGAACAATCCCTATCCCGCGTAATCTTTAACCTCCGCTTCGCACAACCCGCTCGGAGAGGGGGGTGGAGAGGGGGGACACGAGTTAATATTTGGCGAGGAAAACCAAACCCGGTCATCGCTTGTACTTTCAGTTTCTGACAATTTGAGCAGAGCGCGCGCCCGCCAACACTGACAGAGCTGCCCAAACAGGAAAGGCTGCGTTTAACCAGTGTGCGCTGGGAGACACGCCGGGAACAGCACTGCATGGAGGATGTTTTGGAAAAGCACGGCTACAGCAGCAGCCCCGAAAGGCAGGCGGCAGATAGGAGCAGGCAGCCGTCCCCCCCTGCCACGAGCGATATATTCCTAATCACTCACACACCAGCGATTGCCAAAGCGAGCAACAACATCAGCAGTATCAGCTGCCCCAGTCTGTGCGTCCCAGCGTGTTCTCGCCGGGAAACAGCTCACGTACAACAGCACAGCCTGGAACGCAGCATAATCAACAGTGCCTGCGCCAAGTAAACATATAGAGAGACGTTTTGCCTTTGCTAACTGTGCTCCGAGGGGCTACACGCAGTCTGGGAGAGAAATTGCTCAGGGGTTGATAGGAAACCTACACACATCCAAAAATACCCTCCCCGGAGCCTTTGGCCTCTCGTGGGATTGTCACTAATTTGAACATGGACATTGTTATCAAGGTCACACATCGCTCGTCCGGGCTCGGGAGAAAGTCAGGCAAGTTAAGGAAAAACGCCGCTCGGTAGCTAAGCAAGGACAAGTGACATTTTATTTGGAAGCACGAGGATTGCGGCTGGCAGGAATTCTACTCGGGATAAATAAAAGGGGAGCTCCAAGGGCACGGCTGGAGGGGAACTGGCGGCAGCCCCAGACACCAGCGCTGCCTCCAGACCCACAAGCGCTGCTGGCCGCTGTTTATTCCCACTGTGCGGCTGGTCCTGGCGTCCCCGCGACCACCCGAGGCCATCCATAATTTAAGCGATATTCCCCCATCCAGAATCTCTGGATTCCACCCCGCTCGCGGCAGCACCGGTTATTAACCAGTTACACGAGCCCAGCGCGAGGAAAACACGAAAACTTTTCATTAACCAGTCCTCCTCCTCCCCGCCCTTCGGTTTAGTCAACCAATTATAAAATGAAATTGGGGATTTGACTTCCAGGCGAGCAGCGGCGGCACCCGGGGCCGGGGCTCCGGGAGGGTTCCCGCACGGGGGGCGATCATCCCGACGGATCCCGGGAAGGGCCGGCGCTGAGGGATCGCCCGGCGGGTGCCAGGGCCGGGGCAGGGCCGGGGGCGCTGACAGGGCGCGGGGCAGGTGCGGGGCCGGGCCATACTCACGTAGACGGGAAGCGGCCAGGGGTACACGGCGGGCTCGGCTCCCACGGGCGACTTCAGCCGCAGCTCCAGCCTCTCGCCCATGTCGGCAGCCGGAGGACGAGGCGGCGGCGGCCCCGCACCATGCTAGAGGGGCCGGCCGGGGCGGGGTGCGGCGGCCGGGCCGGGCCGGGGGCGTGGGCGCGGTGCGGCGGGCGGGCCCCCGCACCGCGCGCGCTCCCGCGGCCCTCTCGCGCGCGCGCGCCCGCAGCCCCCTCCCCCCATCCCGCGCGGGGGTCGCGGGCGGGGGTCGCGCGCGGACGAAGGGGGGGTCGCGCGGGGACGGGACCCCCGGACAGGACGGTGTGACACAGGGGTGGCACCCGGCGCGAGAGCAGGACGGGCTGCGGCGGCAGACACGTGTGACAGGGCCGGGGTGGCACACGAGCGCAGGATGGGCTGCAGTGACACGCGTGTGACAAGGACGAGGGTGGCACCTGGCACACGGGAGCAGGATGGACTGCAGTGACACGCGTGTGACAAGGACGAGGGTGGCACCTGGCACAAGGGAGCAGGACAGGCCATGGTGTCACACGCATGTGACAGGGCCAGGGCAGGACATGGCACAAGAGAGCAGGATGGGCTGCAGTGTCACATGTGTGTGATGGCATGAAGGTGGCACATGGGCACAGGAAGGGACAGGCCACATTGTCACACATGTGTGACAGGGTAAGGGTGGCACATGGGAGCAGGAGGGTCTGTGGTGTGACATATGTGACAAGGCAAGTGTGGCACATGCAAGCAGAACAGGTTGTGGCACAAAGTGTGACACACATGGCCGAGGTTGGCACATGGGCACAGGAGTAGGACAGGCCATGTTGTCACGTGTGTGATGGAGAGAGGGTGGCACATGGGAGCAGGATGGGCTGTGGTGTGACACAGGTGACAGGGTGAGGGTGGCACATGGCACATGGGAGCAGGATGGGCCACATTGTCACATGTCAAACGGGGCGAGGGTGGCCATGGCACTCAGGGTCTGTGTGAGGGTGGAGCACCCATGTGACAGCACAAGGCTGGGACCCTCCATGTGACAGCGTGGAGCTGGCACAAGGCACTCAGGGCGTGCCAGGCTGGGACCCCATCATGACACAGCAAGGGTGGCATATGGGACCCAGTGGTGCCACACACGTGTGGCAAGGCAAGGGTGGGACCCGCTGTGTGACAGCACCAGGCTGGTATGGGACATTCATGTGGCCTTTCAGGGCTGGGTCACTCGTATGGCAGTGCAAGGCTGGCACTCTTGTGATGGCACGGGGCTGTCACTCATGTGAGGGCACAGGGTTGTGGCACACATGATGGCACACAGCTGGCACACACATAAGAGGACACAGGGCTGTCACACATGATGGCACAGGGCTGGCACACTCGTGATGGCACAGGGCTGGCACACATGATGGCACACAGCTGACACACCTGTAAGAGGACACAAGGCTGGCACACTCGTGATGGCACAGGGCTGGCACACATACGATGGCACAGGGCTGGCACACTCGTGATGGCACACAGCTGACACACCTGTAAGAGGACACAAGGCTGGCACACTCCTGATGGCACAGGGCTGGCACACTCGTGTGAGGCCAGGCTGTGCTCATGGGTCACTGGAGCCCCCAAAGCTCCTGGTGCAAAGTCTGCACACAAGTGACTTGTGAGCCTTGCCCGGTGCCACGCGGTCACAGTCACAATCGTGGGGGTGTGTCACGCGTGGGGGCACAGACGGGGCATCCCCATTGCACGCGGGTGTGTGTGCCAGGCTGGGCAGGGGGCTCCGCAGCTCCGAGGAGGAGCTTTACGGCACGGGGGAGCAGAGCTGAGCCCTGTGCGCAGCAGTGTCCAGTGGGGACAAGGGGACAACGGGACAGGGGGACACGGGGATGGAGGGACATGGGCACGGGGTCCATCAGCCACAGACACCAAGCACTGTGTGCCGAGAGCTGCATCGGGAGCTCTGTGGCGGCGGCTACAGCCTTACAACACGGTGTAACCTGGGAGTAGGGCTGAGTGCACCCCAGCTGGGCAGCGACAGGAGCGGGAAGTGTCCTGGGTGGGGGCTGGGAGCTGCATCTCTACAGAGGCCGGTGATGGGCTCAGTGGCATCGTTTTCCATGTCTATAGGTGGCCGCAGGGCAGGGTGACACCGTTTGCATGTCTATAGGTGCCCAACTGGGCGATAAAATCGGGCCGGAGCTTCCTCCTTCACAGCCTTTCGGGTGATAATTTCCCTCTTCCCGGGACATGCGCATGCCCTGGGGTGCAGGGACATCTGGGGGCCCTGCCACCCGGTCCTGCACTCCAAGAGAAGAGCACCCAGCACCACTACAGCACCCACACCCTCTGCTCACACCGCACTGCCGAGGGGCCCAGGGGACAATGACATCGTGCCGGGTGCCATGCTCCATCTGAGGGCTGGAAGAGCAGCTGGGAGCCAGGGTCTGCTGGGGATGAGCATCCCTGCGGGACAGGAGCAGCCTGAGGACTGCCATAACCCAGCTGGGCATGGCTGAGCCCAGGCTCTGACCTGCAGCCGGGTCCAGCAGAGCCAGTTGGCACCTGGGAGGAAAACCAGTCCTTCCCCATCAAACTGGTGGTGGAATTTCTGCTGGCAGCTGCTGCCCTGCCATGCCAGTGTGGGCTGGGACCTTTTCCCCCTGCGGTTCCTCGCTTTCTCAGCCAAAGACAAGTAAACACAGCTCAGGGCAGGATGCTTTTGCCATCTGGCTCTCCTGGCTGTTGTCCCCAATTTATTAATCCCATCATTCTTTTATGGTGCTGCAGAGGATGTGGCTCAGCCATGCTGGGGAGCTTGGGGGCCACGGAGTTCAGCGTTGGTGCCCCTGTGCCAGTGCCATCACATCCACTCTGCTCCTGCTCTGGGATGTGGCTCCAGGGCCTGGCAAAGCCTCCTGTATTCAGTGAACCTCTGCAGATCCTTTGGGATTAAGATGTGGCATGGAGACATCCAGTGTCTGGGCTGCAAACTGGTGTCCTGGATGGGGTCACTGCCTGTGGCCCTGTGCTCCTCAGGAAGGCAGGGAATGCACCATGCCTGAAATGCATCCAGAGCCAGCGAATGCCAGAGCAGGATATTCCCTGCACAGGGATTTTGTACATTATTTAACACCTGTATTTCCTGACAGGTCTCTGCCTTCAGCAGAGACAGGAGCTGTTTATTTGGGGCAGCTGCACAGTTCTGTGGTGGGGGCTGGGATGTGCCCCAGCTCCTGTCCCCATGGCTGCTCCCTTATCCAGAAACTGCTCCAAGGCTGGCTCCAAACCCATCCACTCCCCTCTTTGTATCCTTTTTCTCCCCCTTAAATGTCTGTACGTGCAGAAAGCTCCATTGCTAGGAACGCTTTTCTAAGGAAAACACTAAAATCATCAAGTCAGCAGTGCTTAAACTGCTCTGACTGCCTCTTAAATAATCAATTCATTTTTAATTAGCTTACCACAAAAATTCCATTAAATTTAAATAAATAGACATGGCAGGAGTTCTCCAAGGCACAGCAGGCTCCATTTAAAGAATTCTCTTTGAGTTCGTTAGGTTGGTCTTTAATCAGTTTGTCGTCCAAGTCCTTGTGTGGCCCAAGCAGGCTCCTGGGCTGCTAATAAATAGTAATGGAAGCTTCCAGGATCTCCCAGATGAATCCCAACCATCTGGCCACCATGCAGGGGTTCAATGCTGGAGCTGATGTCTCCTGGCAGGTAGCGGGGAGTGGGTCATTTTTGAAGCACCTGCCTGAATCAGGACATCTTTTCACTGATTTCTCTGAGTTTTACATCTGGAAGAAGAGAGGGAAGCAAGGAAGGGCAATGCCCTGTTTTCTGCTGGTTCAGTGAGCTGAACTGACCCCTGAGAGATGTGAGAATCCCTGAGAGCTGGGAGCCACTCCGTTCCCTTGGACAGCTCTAGATTTTTGCTTTCTTAGGTGCCTTGGGGGTTTATAAGAAATCTCAGGAGGGACTTCTGACCAGAGCATGCAGTGACAGTTCAGGGGAATGACTTCCAAGTGCCAGAGGGCAGAGTTAGAAGGGATTTTGGGAAAGAATTCCTCCATGTGAGGGTGATGAGGCCCTGACACAGGGTGCCCAGAGCAGCTGGGGCTGCCCCTGGATCCCTGGCAGTGCCGAAGGCCAGGCTGGACAGGGCTTGGAGCAGCCTGGGACAGTGGGAGGTGTCCCTGTCATGGCAAGGGGTAGGACTGGATGGCTTTAAGGCTCCTCCCAACCCAAACCATTCCCTGCTTCTCTGCCCACTCACCCTGTGCTCTCCTGCACCTCTTCTCTGCTCTGCACCAGGACACACCAGGTCCTGCCAGGGTTCCACAGGCTGATGATTTTCCAGGGACTCCAGACAGTGACCTGCAGCATTAGCCCTTCCAGAGAATCAAGAATCCAAATCGGCAGCAGTTGAATTTTTCCAGTGTGGGGGTTTGTGGGGTAGAGGTCCCCATCTCCTCCCCAGGTGTGCTGGTCCTGCTGCATCCCCTGGCTGCAGCTCCTGGCTCCAGGCTGGCTGAATTTTTTTTTTTGCCACCACCAGATGAACCAGTTTGGATAGGGAGGAATGGGGAAGATCTGCACAGCTCTGTGCACACAACTCTACTCCTGTAGCACTGGAAAAGAGATTTTTCCCTGTCAAGAGGGTACAGTGGGCAGCTGGTGCCCACAGGCAGCTGACACAGCTCCTCCTGCCCTGCTGTTCCCACATCCCACCTCTGCTCCCCCAAGCCGCAGCCAGGGATCCCCTAGATCCTTGGAGCTCATCCCACACTGGGGTTACCCCCCTTGGACCATGGGGTCAGCTTCTATCATGTTATGGGGGTCCCGACTGTGCAGGTGTGGGGGGACACAGGGAGGGCATTAATGCACCAAGGACACTTTGCACAAGCAGTGCTCTGACCCTCGGTGCACAAACCACGTGCAAAGGCACCTTTGGAGCTCATCCCACACTGGGGTTACCCCCCTTGGACCATGGGGTCAGCTTCTATCATGTTCATGTGGCCATAGACCTTCAGGCAGGGCCAGTGCTTGGCACAGGGGCTTGATGTGCACATCAGCTCCTCTGATGTGAACCTGCCTTCCAGCAAGAGCTCCTCTTCAGTCTTGACCCAATTTAGCTGACAATAACAAGCTGGATCACGAGGCAGGTGTTACTGC